AATTAACTAGATAAAAAGACGTCAAGCATTAGACAAGAATATTCGTTAATATTGTTACCTAACTGACAGTTGGAAGTCAAGTAAGTCTCTGCGTGATCGCCTTTGACCAGTTTCAAAAGATAAGTATTTTGATCAAAAACCAATTTCTAAGCATGCCCTTTACCCCAATAAAAATGCGTGTAAATAGTTGCACACTTGACCTAATTTCGGCATGGCGTTTTCACACAAAAACGATAGATGGTACCCGATAAATTCAATAGAATAGTTTGTATAAACTGAATAAATTCCGCGGATAATAATTATGTTGGGTATAAGTATGTAGTTATATATTTGTACACACAAAGTGCATTTTTAAGTTTTTAAAAAAGCGAATACATTAAAAAGCGAATTAATATTTGTGTCACAGCGCTAGTCGGCCAATTAGAAAATCATTGGTATAAAAACTAGTTAAATACGGTTTCTCTATTTTTCTATTATCTTTAAACTGTGGGTACGTTTTATAGTTAAAACCTCATTAGATTTTGTGCCTGATTTCTTGTTTCCTGGTGTTTTGCGAAGAAGGACGAATACGATAAGAATTTTCTCTGTTTCACTTAAAGCCTTCACCAACACATGTAACAATCTCTTGCTATTGGCCACATGTTGTGTCGGGACTCATTAGACATGCAGAAAGCCATCGTAAATTTATATCTGCATATATATATATATATATATATATTTCAGGATTATAGCAAGATTTGTGTTTTTAAATTCACTTTAGTCGCACAAATCTACAAAGGTTTATAATAATAATCCTTGCATTTGATATAGCGCTTTTCATGTCTTCTCTACGTCCCAAAGCGCTTCACAGAGTATACTGTAAAGTGAATTGACTGTATATTTGTGGGCGAAACGCGGCAGCCAATTGCGCACAGCAATGTCTGTCCCACAAACAGTCGTGGATTAAAACTGACCAATTTTTGTTTTGGAGGGATTATTATTAGGCTCTGTGTGGAGTAAGGAAACTTTCCCAAGGTTTCGCCCTCTGCCTGGAATTGAACCCAGGTGTCTCGCTTGCAAACCGACTGCTCTAACCACTGAGCTACAGGACTCCACATCTCCACTGCTAATAAAGTTTGGTTCAAACTTAACGTACAACTTGATGGATCCACACCGTGTATATTCAGGTGACTAAAATAAACATTTTACATCTTTTTTCTCCGCAATGTGGAGCCTATTTTCTGATAGATTCCAGTTGCATGTTTAAAACAATTCTTACAACCAAATGGTTTTTCGACACATTTACCCGATAGATAAAACAATTTCTCCTTTCGCTGGTTCTTTGGTGCCTAAAATGCACAACTAAACCACGATGGACTCGTGCAGCAGTTACAGCGCTCGCCTCGCAAGCGAGAGGTCCGGGGCTCGAGTCCCGGCAGCCAAGGCCTGGGCCTGGGACAGCTTCCTGACTCCACACACACCACACGCCGCTGTTTATTCAGCAGTAACTGGGAACCCCCTTCTTAGACGATTGGCGGGTCGCTTTTTTGGGGGTAATAATCCCTTCCAAAATAATAATAATAATGTGGACACTCAATCCTGTTTGAGGGACGCTGCTGTGTGCAATTGGCTGCTGTGCTTTGCCCAAAAATATATAATCCCTTCACACTACAGTATATTCTGTGAAGCGCTTTGAGACGTCTCAAAGACGTGCTCAGGCGCTGTATCAAATGCAAGAATTATTATTATAAAATGAGATTTTCATGTTTCCCAAATATGTCATCAACGCTATTTTGTATTATAATGTTAATTCTATTTACTGATGTAAGAGTTGTATTCGTTGTCACGGTCCGCGCACAGAACTCCGGGCTCTGGTTTGGACTTTGAACCAACGACATGGCATGAAATGGAGCAGAAATGGACATTAGACAGTGTACCTTTTAATCACTGACGTGTTGACACCGTCAGCTCTCACTTTAACTACAACACTGATGTTAGACTTCGCACCAAAAGCGACAAAACACTCGCGCCGCGTAACTGTGAGACAAATCCTTGGTTTTATTTGGAGAATCCGCCGCTCTTTACTCCGCACAGAACACTCTGTGGATTAAAACGCGTTTGGAAGAGATAAATTGAAAAGGCGTAGAAACGACATATAAAGCATATTTCGAGGCTGGATTCTCGTTTAATCAATAATTCTCGAAGAAATTGTCTTAGTCAAGCAACTCGCACTCTTATTTGAACTTTTTTAAAGAAAAAGTTGTGTTTTTACAGCGTTAGATTGCTGTATAATTTAGTTGTCAATTTCATGTGAGTTACATACCTGTAATTTTGTCTCCTTGTGCGATTAAGACTATCAGATCCGCACTTCTTTACTGTCAAGGTGTGTGTGGTGTTTAAAGAAAAACATACTATTCGATTAGAATTAAATGATTAGCAGCGAATAGAAGCGGACGCTCTGATAACATGTCCAGTTAATCACTCGAGCGGCTCCTCACAGGGCGGTGCTGAGCCCCGGTTTATTGCTACGAGTCTAAAGGTTTCGGTGGGACCTTTTTAAAATTCAAAATAAGTTACGGTTCCATTGTTTCCACCTTTTTATCCTGTGGATCTCTCAGGGACTGTGACTCCCGAATGCATCACTGCAGACCTTTTATAGCGTTGTTTTTAAGCAAAAACCAACAGCGTTTTGGGGTCGTTAAAAGCAAATTGCAAAGCCACGATTAATGAATTATTTAATCAGGCGAGTAACTAAAGCATGTTTTGTCAATTAATTGTAATGATCACCAAATTATGAAAACAAAATAAATTACACCCCATTTCTTTAACTGTCGACAACTGCTGTTAGGAAGGCAGACAGTCAAACAGTCACTCACCTTATATTAGAGTATTAGAGTGCTCTGCGCTACCAATGAAATCTGCTTCCAGTCACAAACCGACACAATAAACACTGAATTATGTGCAGCGGGTGATTACAGTGAATTAAGTTAATTACAGTCCAAAATGGATTGTGGGTTGATTTTTCACACTGACATTCATTTAGTGTGAAAATTTTCTTTCTATTATTAATTTTGTCACGTTTGCCCTTTTTAAAATAAAAATAGATGTTTCAGCGACACAATTGAGACAATCGATATATTTAAATCGAATTCGCAATATTTTTATATTCATATTTCTGTTACAGTACTGTTCGGCATCTGGCTTGTTCTTGAGCAGGGAGGTCGGATTATAAACTATTTTTATAACACCCCCGCCCCACTTTCATCTTTAGATAGACAGTATTATATTAAACGTCTGTTATAGAAACGAAGTGAATGAGTTGGCCAAAAAAATGTTACTGAATAATTGGACCGATTATATCATCATCATATTCGCAATGTGCATCTATTAAGCCATTTCCGGGAACCTATATGCAGCCAATAATGTACTGAGGAGCAAGTTATTATTGACCAAAACTCACCAGACGCCCTCTGGCTCAGTCCTCAGATCGTTGTTGGGTATATAGCATATGGTGTATACCAGGATATATGGTATAAGTGGGAAACGACTCTATGTCAAACACTAATCATACTACGACTATGTACATCATACACTACGACTAATCATACTATAACTTCCGTAACTTGAATCATTTATCGTTACATATTTATTTGCATAAAAAGACCCTTTTTTAACAATCAATTCCATGCCATCAACACATTTTACCGTTTGTTTTTCAATTGCAGAATTGTACTGGAAGCGAAATTTGAAAAATAATCCATATTGTTACATTGACAAAATGTCAACGATAAAGTGTGTAGACTTATTATTCCCCATTTGATTCGGTCCCTGTTGTTCATTTTGCAGAACTAACATTCTGTCATTTTATCCCATTGGTTTCTGATAGCATTGCATACGGCGTCCGGAGTATAACAGTTCGTTTGAAAACAGCTTATTCGGCGGAAAGGATTGTATTCCCTTTTACCTGAGTTAATTTCTGTCACCCCCCCCCCCCCCCCCCCCCCCCGCCCCCCCCCCCCCCCCCCCCCCCGCATCTCAACAAAATTGATATTTCTTCCGAAGGACAGATTTACCCTCAATACTACTGCATCTATACAAGGTACTAACCATTTTATTTGGGGGAAAACGTGTTGGAATTATTATTGCAGAAAAATTACTGTAATGAAGGACTGAGAGGTTTGTTACTCACCCCGGAATTCAACATGCACGTGCTGTGACAACAACAACAACTTGCATTTATAAAGCGTCCTTCACATCGAATAACCTCTCGGAGCGCTTCATAGTGACGTTAAGTTCATATGTGAGAAGGTGTGAGTAAGGTATAACGTTTTTGTTTTTCACTGCCTGTAAAAAGGAAGTGCAACTTCAGTTTTATTACGATTTTTTTTTACAAATCGTTATTCTCCGAATAGTAGAGCCAAAAACAGAAAATTAAAAAAGAAGCCGCGTAAAGTTGTAAAGTTTGGGCAGGTTGTAGCTGCCCCTTTAAGACGCGGGTGAGGCGACTCAGTTAGTTTGGGAAGGCTTAGGTGGACACTCGGTAACAGTTACCATAACCAATGGGAAGTGGGCGCTGTGCGGCCAATAGCAGGAGCCACATGTTGTCAAGTTACACTCCTAATGAAAACGTAACGAGCAACAAAGACACAGACAGACACACAGACGGACAGACAGACAGACAGACAGACAGACACACGCAGTCGGAGCCTCGGTTTGTAGTAATGTTAATGTCACCCACACAACACCCACCGCCACACTCCGCCTCTTTCACCATTGCTCTCCCGTTCGGGTGGAGGCGTTGACTACGGTTTGCTGCTCTCAAGTGGTTTCCAACCTCAACGACCTTCTATATAACACATATGCGGTGTATGTAATATATGTATATGTTTATGTATATGATTTAGGTTTAAGTCAGAGCGTCCGAAAGAAAAATAAGTAACGTGAACCGTTGTACAGTTGGCGGCCGATCGACATACCGTAAAGTTATGGAACTGCGAACAGAGATGTCAACCACCACTGCGGCTCCCACAGCGATACCGGTCTCCATGGCGGGGACTCTGCTCCGCGCTCCGCCTTTGCTCCTTCGCGCCACCGAGAAGTACCCGCGGACTCCCAAGTGCGCGCGGTGCCGGAATCACGGCGTCGTGTCCGCTCTGAAGGGCCACAAACGCTACTGTCGCTGGAAGGACTGCATGTGCGCCAAGTGCACACTGATCGCCGAGAGGCAGCGGGTGATGGCGGCTCAGGTGGCCCTGAGGAGGCAACAGGCGCAGGAGGAGAACGAGGCCAGAGAACTGCAGCTGTTATACGGGACGGCGGAGGGATTGGCCATCGCCGCCGCTAACGGGATGCTCCCGCCGAGGGCCTCGTACGAGATGTTGGGTTCCGTCTGCTCTGAGGGCAGCGGCGCAGGTAAGAGCATCAGCGTCCACCCCGAGCGCCTCCCACCCCCTCACACATGGCTCATCCCCAAACTAACACTGTGCCCGAGATAACAACATGAGGTAACATCAGGAACCCTTTCTGCAAAGGTTCTGAAAACACTTGTGCGATCGATTACAAAACTCAGGTGATTCATTTTATATAAAAACTTTTTTTGCAATAACTCCACTTACTTTCTGCAGTTGCATAATTGTCAAATTTAAATTAATTCGATATTAATTCAAAACATAATGATTTTTTGTGAGGGAAATGTGCGATGCAAAACAGTTTAAAAAAAATCTGAGGTAAAGTCGTACTGTATCGTCCCATCTCTGGTCAACCTACCAGTTGTCAATCGCAGTTGGATCTTTCCGAATCATATTTTAAGTGTAATATAATAGAAAACATATTAAATGGATGTGCAATTGCAGAGTTTGTAGGTGAAAACATTGAGAAGGTTTTAAAATGTTTTATAATTAATGCGTAATGTGAGTTTTGGAGCTCCGGTGGGGCGACATGTTGGGCAACTTTCCTTATCCCACACACCACGGGACCCGCAGTGAGGAGGAACCCGGTTGTTAGTCGATTGGCAGATCCCTTTTCTGAGGATAATAATCCCTGAACAAAAAAACAATAATAATTTGGTCACTCAATCCACGATGGTGTGGGACACTGCTGTGTGCAATTGGCTGCTGTGTTTCGCCCACAAATATACAGTCAATTAAATTTACAGTATATTCTGTGAAGCACTTTGGGACGTCCTCCTGACGTGAAAGGCGCTATATAAATGTAATTTTGTTGTTGTTGTTCTTGTTGTTGTCGAGAAGGCATGAAATGCAAAGATAATTATTATTGTTGTTAGATTAATAAACACACTGTTGTACTTGATTCAAGCGCTCCGGGACGGTGAACCGAATGAGAGGTGCAAGTTGTTCTTGTACATATAAAATATGCTTAAAGAACCAATAATTTTGAAAAAGTAAAATCTGTCAGTGCAAGGTATCACATATTCAGCAAGTAGATAACTTTCTTTATAGCCTGAAATTTTAGGGGTGTAGATGAAACCAACAGTAGAAGGTTTTATCCGATTGTGTGAAAAAGTGGACTAATAATAATCCTTGGATTTGATATAGTGCCTTATCACGTTTCAAAGTGCTTCACAGAATATACTGTAATGTGAATTGACTGTATATTTTGTGGGCTAAATGTGGCAGCCAATTGTGCACAGCAGCGTCTCACAAACAGTCGATTGGGGAATCGCTTTTCCAGGAGTAATAATTCCTTCAAAATAATTTTTTAAAATTTTGGTCACTCAATCCACGACTAACAACTGGGTTCCTACTTACTGTGGGTAAACAGAGGTGTGGGGAGTAAGGAAACTTGCCCAATGCTTCGCCCTGCCAGGAAACAAACCCAGATCTTTTGCTTGGGAGGCGAGTGCTCTAATCACTTAAGTATGAAGAAGAAGGAGTTTCTTTGCAAAAGAAAACCGTTTATAAACTGCAAAACATGGCAATCATTTTAAATCTCCCATTTTTTAACGATAATAATTGCAATTAAATAATTATATGAAATCCAGTGTACTTATCCACCCGCTTACCATTGGGGAGAAAATAAGTTGTATATTCCAAAAAAGTAATCCTGAGAAAAAAACATAAATTTTCTCTCTCTGACAGATGACGATTGTTTTGCTAATATTTGTTGTTGTGCAGAATAGAATGTGGTTTCCAGCAGGTTTGTAACGTTAACTTTGTGTCTTTGCAGAATCGAAACTCCAAAAGTATGACCTCTTTCAAAAGAGTCTAATGCCCAAGGCTATGATTCCTCAGCCGGCCACGGGTAAGGCAATGTCAGGGGACAGCGATGCGGGTTCAGGGGGGCTCCCCGCCACCTCATCTCCTGACGTTCGTCATGGCTCTGGGTCGGAGAACGGAGATGGAGAGTCTTTCTTGAATTCCCCCATATCTAAAGCTCTTAAGGAAGGAGAAGATAGCCCGGGGACCATCACCCCACTGGAGTCTGATTCTGGCTCAGAGACAGAAAAAGACGAGAGAGATCCTGCCCCATCCACAGGGGCGCGGCAGAGGACTCCCATAGAGATCCTCACCAGGGTTTTCCCTTCTCACAAGAGGAGTGTTCTGGAACTGGTGCTCCAGGGTTGCAGAGGAGACGTGGTGCAAGCCATCGAACAGATCCTGAACAACAGAGAGCAAGAAAAGGTAGTTGAGGAATCGTGGCACCGGGATGGGATCCTTCAGAGTGTCCAAGGGGCACAGTCACATCGACCCCTTGTCAGCGGAGTAGTGCCTCCTGCCATTGGGACTCTGGGCAATAGATCTGCCTTTTCCCCACTCCAACCCAACTCGACCCATTTTAGCGCGGATCCCAATACTTACACCATTGGGTCACATCTGGGACTCAACCCCCTCCGTTTAGCATACTCAGCGCACAGCAGGGGATTGGCTTTCATGACGCCTTATTCCACGGCAGGTCTTGTCCCAACACTGGGTTTTCGTCCACCTATGGATTATGCCTTCAGCGACCTCATGCGAGATAGATCCAATTTACATAAAGATCAGGTATACACTAATGGACTTTATGGATCAGTTGTAAATAATAATCAGGATAAATAGTAAGTTGCAAAAAAAATGCTCTAGCATGTCTTAAAACACACCTATTGGATTATTCAAGACTGTCCCATACTTACACGGTCATGGTGGAGCATGCATAAAACAGACAAAAAACGTATAAACAATATCAATAATACAATACTGTAAAATAATAAAGTGCTAATGTGCAATTTTGTTATCAAAGTATATTTCGTTGTTATTGTTATTCATGATCCAACAATTCCTTTGGTTATTGTGTCTTTAGATATTCATATGTAATGTTTATAAACCAAACGGAATTAATCCTAAATTATTACTGTAATATGTAGGAAATACAAAACAACACGAATCGTTCTATGCACCTATAAGGCGCAGAATAAATATATTGTAGTTATTTTGAGTTTAGGATTTGTTATTTTGCGCAATTGTTTGTTTCTTGCAGGACGTTGGGAAATGTGTACCATACAAAGACCAAGTTAAATTAGTTATCGTGTTTGAGACAATGGCGACAGCGAGATAGCAGCGCATTGTGTGTGCATTCGCCACGTATATAAAAACTTGTCGCTTTTCTGTGTTGATTGTAGCAATTATTTTCCCCCCTGTAAACGGTCAAAGTTATGTGTTTGTTAGAAATAAACGTTATTTTGTAAACATATTTCTGGACAAGTATTTTACCTTTTGCCCCTTTTCCCAAAAGTGAATATTGCGCATTCTGTCCTTTGTTTAAAAAACACACCGGTGAACCGTGTACCCGATTGTTTTCACTCTAAAATTGGAAACGTCGAAGTATATGTGTTTTGATCGAAATCTGTGATCATATAAATCCAATTACTATGTGGTGTTTTTTCAGTGGTTATATCATTGCTTTAGAAATGTAATTCGTTAGGAATGGAACATAATGATTCCCTTTACAGCATCAATATGCACTTTAAAATGAAGATGATCAATAGTGTAAATGAGCAATAAATAACCACTTCAACAACTTGCTTTTCTATAGCGCCTCTCACACAGGGCAGCGGCCCGGAGCGCTTTATGTGTTTAAATATATTTCAAGAGAGGAAGGTAGGTTTTCTCTACTTTCCGTGACTATATATTAGGTGATAAAATAATGTTTAAAAAGCAAACCTGTTTCTCGTTGATTGTTTGTGGAGGAGAGGAGAAAACTATTCTTTCATATTGAAACCCAGCAGAACGGAAAAACAACCCGCATGATATTAAAACCTTTTTCTTAAAAAATAGTTGAAACACTATATTGAGGACGAGTCATAAAATTCCTAGCCATGCCAACGTAATTCTAAATAAATTGCCACAATTTATCTTGTTTTACTTTCTTCCATCAAGTATAAAAGTGAAAGTAAACATCGAGCTTAAAAATGACAGTTGTATAAACTCCATATTCATAAACTACTGTTTGGTGTCAAGAAATCGATAATTTTCACCTAATTGGAACTCATGAATTTCGCTTCAACAGGATAGCCATTAGTTTTATTCCCAAGATCAAAACAAGTTTTCTATTTTTTACTCCCACGGATAGCGAAATAATCCAATGTATCTATCATTATTTTTATATATAAAAAAGGCCCATTTACGCGTCTTAAACCACTGCAAACAAACTTTACACGCAATCCAGCAGTATTACCCGTCAAAACTTTCCCTGAGTGCTCCACTCAGTGAAACATAATATGACTACAATACAACGATTTAATAAAGAGGGGCTTTAATAGTGAGCTAATTTGATTGGATTGCCTAATTCCACTTTAATTGGAAAAAAAGCCGCATGTTAGGAATGCTTAGCGGAGTTGCCTTGTACCAGCAGAGACTCCGACATCTGAATAAACCTTCACAGCTGAATTTGTTCAGGATGAGTTTCCATATTGGGATTATTACTGTGTGGTTCACAGATGACTGCTACTATCACGGCTACGTCAGGTCACAACATTTGCACCATTCACCAGGTCTCTTATCGGTTTGTGCCTTATTGCAGCAGCTTTCACCTTCTATTTTAAAGCAAAGATTTGACCCTTAATTAGATTTTTAAGAAAGCCCCGCTTTAGAGCGGTCAAAAACACTGTGATCTTTTATATGTAAGAAGCTCTTTCATATTCTATAAACGCATTGAATTCATATCTCGAATGTAACCTTTTGGCGGAGAATCGTGGAGCTCAAAAGTGGAAGGATGACAAAGCCACGGTTTCTCTGTCTTCTGAAATGGGAAAAGGTGTCCTTTAATTTCAGGAGCAAATCGGAATAACCATATTATCTTGTAAATGAGACACAAATTTCATGTGAAGAAATGAGAGCGGACTGTCACTTCTGTTATTCCTCTGGCCAGATATTTGGAAAATATACTTTATTATTATTAATATTATTTATTTTAAGTACATATAAAACTTTAAAACTCGGGAACCAACAACGCTCCAGGAAATCACTACAATTGAAACTTTGTGACAATCACTTGCTTGAAATAGCAAGTTGCCACCAAATGAATGGGAGAGAATCTACTTATTAATTAATTAATTTTGAAATTAATTTTCCGAAAAAGTTTTACAATATTCTTTCATCATCAACATAGACTCACTATTACCCGAATTTAAGAAGGTGCTTAAAGACCTTCTACCGAATTCAATAAATGCAATGTATTTCACGCAGATTCTCCATGAAGAGAAGACAACCCCTGACATATACACAGCTCGGTGATGTTTATCAGCTGCTGCTCTACCAATCAAACTCTGATTACTCACAAACACTGGATTTGACAGCAACTTGAGTTGGGTTTCTGACAGTGTGACCTTAACCTAAGACACAGTTGCCAAATATGGCGAAGTCACAAAACTGGAATGCTCATAAACACGCTTTATTTTGTAAAAAAAACACCAGCGGTAGAGTATTCGGAATTAAGTTACAATATGATCTGTTAAAAGTATATTTCAGAAGCATTTTGAATGTTCCAGGGAAAGGTTTGGCGACTGTTGTTGACCCTTGTGTCTTGATGACTATCTTCAGCTAAGAAGAATTATTTCTCTGAACAAGAGTAGAACCTCCTATTGTCTCAGAATGAATTATAAATGCTTCTGCTGTTGGTTTGTGGGCATATATACTATATGTGTGTATATAAAATTACATATGATATAGCACAAATGCTTAAAAACACCTTGATAACTCTTCTATGCACCCATTCAAATTGCAAGTTCACTTTCAACATATTGCCTGCATATTGTACTGACGTGGAAAATGTCATCTGTTGCTGTTGTTGGGAGATGCGATCAACTTGAGGATCTCTTCCTGACGCGAACAGAGTCTTTGTTCCAAGGCTAACACTTGTCTTTTACTGTGTAGAAGGACTCTACTTTTTCTATTACGAACACAGAGTAGAATCCCTGTATTTCTGAGTAGTATTACTAGTTTTACCAATGAGGATTATTTGGTGCAGTCGACATTTTGACGTTTTACTGTGTTCACAGGAAAAGTGTATGCAAAGCATTTCAATTCGTTTCGTGCACTTTTAGGTACTGTACTGCTTTTTTTTTACTCACACATACAGACACACAGGATCGGTGAAGTTATCAGTGGATCATTGGAAATTGATCTTCGGTTTGAGATTGATAGTAAAGACCAACTTTTCTTATCCTTTCAAAGTAAACGTTGTTACTTTATTTTTTTAAGAAAACTTAACCACCGATTTTGGGAGAGGTTCAGGTTAAACAAAACAAAAGCCTAATTTCTTTGAAGCTCCAGTCTGTGGAGGAGTACACAGGGGATTCGCTTGTGTAACAGACTCCCTTTCACCACTGCTCCTCAGAAAGTGAACTATGTTCAATTATTCATCAGTGCACTAATTCAGTGTAAGGGGTTGTACGCGGCATTATGTTTAAAAACATTTTCAACAAGTGCTGCAGTCATGTCACTATTCTCTACTGAAAAATGTTCTTGAACTGTTCCAAGTAACCAACACTGTATGGAATCCTCTGCTACTTTCCATTTTTTGTTGTTGGGTACTCCCCCATTACGCCAACACTCTGTATGTTGTTTTAATTATGATAATACCGAGAATACCGGCTGACGCAATGAATTTGCCAATTGTTTTATTTTGATGCAACACTGAGGTCGTAAAATGATACTTTTTAAAAATATATAAAGTAGATCAAAATCGAAACTTTTAGCAAAGGCTTGTATTGTATTCCTTTTAATCAGCGTCTACGTCAGAACCAATCTTGTCTGCCGGCGTCAACGGATTTCATCCAGTTTTACAATCCATTCAGAATCTAAAGGCTCCATTTTTTTTGACATAATTGCCAGTTTTATGTTGGTAATGTGCTTTACTAGGAAATCGCAAAGCAAGCTTTAAGATTGACACGTTTCACTAAATTCTGGTTAAATAGGTGCACAGTTTTGCACTCATGTAAATTATGAATTATTCATATATACAGAGTAATGAAGGAGTAGGAGGGAGAGAAGGAAAGGCAACTTTACTGAAGTCAAAAATTCAGATGTCATAAACCACATCAAGAATCAATCTGGAATATTTTAAACAACATTACATCCCCAATACTCAGACAGGGTGAACTTGTTGCAATTTCTTGGTCCCAACATTAGCCTACATACAGACTGAATAGGCTGAGAGAGGGGGAGAAGGAAAATCAGTTTGTTAGTTGTAATTATCACCAGCGATACATCACCGGATGCAATTTTCATCCCTTAATCTTTTACATCTTTTTCGAGCCTAAATTAATGTTAGTGGGTTTACATAATTAACGTTAGTTGATTTTACATATTTGGGTTTTAGATATTTTGGAGCGTGTTCACGCATTCTTGTGTGCTGTTCTGCCAACCAATGTTATTTTAAAGATATGTGGGATGGGGAGAAGCAGAAGAGGCTACGTTTCAAAAGACAGAACTGTTTAAAACATTGTCACTGATTGAGTGTCAGTGCATTGGGTGCTAGGGCAATGGTAGATCTGTGTAAGTTCTGTCGTGTTAGTGCAGTGGCGGTAAGTTACTGCAAAGACTGAGTGTCACTGCAATTGGCATGAAATCAAT